CTCTTCTCCCAAGTAACAACTGATAGTACAAGAGCCTCAAGTTGTGCCAGGGGAGGTTTAGATTGGATATTAGGAAAAATTTCTTCACTGACAGGGTTGTCAAGCTTTGGAACAGGCTGCCCAGGGAAGCAGTTGAGTCACAGTCCCTAGAAGTATTAAATAGACGTGTAGATGAGGCGCTTAGGGACATGGTTTAGTGGGTATGGTAGTGTTGGGTTGACTGTTGGATTCAATGATCTTAGAGGTCTTTTCCAACCTTAGTGATTCTATGATTCTATGATTCTGTAAGTGCAGGACTCTGCCTTTGTTGAACTTCATGAAGTCTTTGTTCACCCATTTCTTCAGCCTGTCCGGATCCCTCTGCCTGACAGCCCTGCACTCCACCATTCTCTACTCCAGTCTGACACATTAACAGTGAACAAGGATTAGGGATTTTGCTGTATTTTGGGAGATTTTGGGTTTTTTACTGTGGAAATTTCTGTCTGTTCCCTTTCCTGGACAGAGGTACATGTTAAAGGCAAAAATTATTATGTCAACTGTTATAACTTTTTCCTATTCTTTACAGATATGTAACAGCTTCCAATAGAATTTGTCTTCTGGACAAACATGGAACCAAGAATCAGTTTATTTCACAAGATGGTTGCATTTTGGATGTCCTTCCTGCCATGATTCATTGCAGCTTTTTAAGAAAAGTAATCTCTTTCAAGGAGGGAGGCAGCGTTTTACCTTCTGCATTAAAAACATATTCTGGACAACGAATATTCGAACAGCAGATTTATAATTTTACCAACATTTCACACACAATTGTTGGGAAGGAGAGAGTGGGAAAAGACTGAAAAGAGATTCCCAACATATTTTAAGAGTAAGAAATACTGAATTACTCAAAGAATGAGATCACAGTTAGCAATAGTTTAATAAAGAAGGTAAGAAATATGTGACTAGGACCCTGAGTCCATAAATCAGACTGCTACAGGGTTGTTTTGCAGAATGCAGTGCTGTGCACTATGCCCAAGGACCCCAAGCCCCAGTTTTTGCTGGATCACAGTGGGGATCCTCATCAGGGTAGAACACGGGCACTGAACGTTTATAATAATACTGAAGCCGTGAGAGCAGTTTTTCCACCACATGAGGATATTTTTCAGACACATCTTTTTTCTCTTCAGGATCATGAACAATATCAAATAGCCAAAGTCTCTTTGTTGGTGGATCAGATGATTGAATCTTTGACTCATTGAACAAAGAAGGTGGAGGGAACCAATGACTGCAGCCTGCAGAAACAGGAACAGACCAAGGGTTAATTCTCAGATAAGGAGCAGCAGTGTGGAGATGTAGAGTTATACTGTAATCAATGAATTCACTACACCCCTTGACAAGCCACTGGCCAGTGATTGTTGCTGCATTCCTTAACTCTAGCCCAGCACCAGAGTCTAGTCCAGGTCTACCTATACAGGAGTTTTATTTATACAAAAAAGCTACACCATTGGGATTCAAACTTCCTTGTCAACTTCATGTCGATTGATTTCATGGAGTTTCTTCTTGGATTCGATGATCCTTATGGGTCCCTTCTCACTTGAGATATTCTATGATTCTATGACAGCGGAAAAGTCATTTGTATACAAAATACTTGCAAAATAAAATAATATGTTGTTTGGATTTTAGAAGTGCCCCTTCTAGGTTTTTGCACATCATCAAAAACCTGAGAAGTCAGCAGAATAACTAAAAAAAAAGAAAATACATTAAACAGAATTAAACTGTGTTTGGGGCAAATGGGAGACATGACACGCTGTACAAAAAGGAGTTACTTCATTACCTGGATATCCAGTTAGTAACTTCCATTTTCCATGTCGGATTGCTGCATGCATGGATATATTGAAAAGTGTATCATCCCATGGAGCAGAATTGCTCTGTGGTAAAGATGTCTTGTTGTCAATGCCAAGACCTTAATGAAACAATAAACTAAGTTAGGTACATTGTATATGCATGAAGTAATTTTTAGAATTCTGTTGGAAAACAGATTTTATTTTTATGTTGGATAAAGAATTTGTTGTATATACGTGCAAAGATCTGTCCTATGATGCACTGGATATATTTTACTCAGAACTTGAACTGCACCCCAAAAAGTTACCAGTGGAAAATGTCACACCTGAGTCTGGGTAACTGGACTCATTTTGTATACAGATATTATATCTCATATACCTATATTAAGAATGCTCACAATTGGAATTGCCAAATTTGCTCATACAAGAGCCTCTATCTTTTTTTTGCCAGTTAGGAACATAGGATTGAAAGATCTCCTGAATCAATGCTACTACTGTTAATTTGCTTAGATCACTCCAGGGACCAAGTCCCAGGTCCCGACTTGTAACCACACGCAGAGAGCTGCCTCTCTGCGCTGAGCTGACTACATTCACACAGATCCACAGCTGCCCAGCGAGGTACTTCTGTGGCATGACACAGTGTGAAGCATGTCTTCATGCCGTCTTGGGTAGAGTTGCACATGATGTGGCCCCATACCCACATACTGCAGAAAACTCTAAAGTGTCAACTAGGTGCAAATTCCTTCTCAAAAGGAAACCTGAAGCTCCTTATAGGAGGGAGCTCAGAAAAAAATTAATATGTATACACCAGGTATGATCAGGAGACCAGTTCTTTACTGAAACCAGGAGGGACTCAGACACTCCGGGGGCATCCAAACCATCTTGCATATCAGCTTTCATAAACAAGACAGGAGTTTAAGGCATAAAGTCTAAGAGTTTTATATTAACTGTATCAGTTGGTAGCTGTTCACCAAAAGACTACTAGAAGGCAACTCTATAATCAGACTAGAAACAAGACATCAAGAGGTGGAGAGAAACCACTGTTGATTTTCTAGCATCTTTCAAGACATGACTTTCAATCAGTTTAAGTAATTGGAAGGACTCAGCTGACAGATTTTTGCCACTGAAATGAAAAAGATAATCCATAAGATGTACAATGATCATGTGAGATCCAATATTAGAAGCAGAACTAGAGGTTTCCAAAAAGAGTAAATTCTATAACATCACAGTGGGGCAAATATACATAGAATAGAAGAGAGCAACAGAAAGTTTGGAAAGAAAATGCTGGGACACAATTTCTCTACTTTTTATGAAGGTCCTGCTAAGTTTCTATTTTATTACTGGGCTTCACACTTTGAATCAGTTTTTCTTTAATAAGCACTTTCTGTGCATACCCAAGTTCTTTGCTTACATCAGACTTGTATAATGTTCCCAGATAAATAATGCTATAAAAGGGGACTACTTGTTTAGAGTATACATACACAGACTGGGGAGGACTCAGCTTATCTTAGATCATGAAGCGTTGAAGCTGATGGTAAAAAAACCTAAACGCCTATAAAACCACGGAAAACTTCATAAATATCCTCTTCTGGAAGACAAATCCCCACACAGCCATGTGATGTCCATAGCAGATACGAAACAGTTTAAAGATCAATATTGCTTACTTTTCAACATCATTATGTTATGTATTATTCTGTCATACTGTTTGCTACTGGGAATACTCATCTTTGCCATCGACTTTCTTAAAGAGCACAATGAAAGACATTCAGCAGATCAAAAAACACAACCATGGGTTTTTAACATTATATCTCAAAATTACAATATTAAGGCTTGATCTAAAGGAAGAATTATGTGAGTCTGCATTTCTGATTTTAAGGTTTAGCATGGAGAATATGCTTCTGTCTGCTGAGCTACGGTATATGAAGCCATAGTATTACACAAGATAAATTATTTAAAATACTTCAAATAAACAGTACGAAAGATTGTATTTTTAGATGTGCTTTGCAAAATATCCTTAGAATGCCATGCGTAAGACTTAAAATAAGATTCAAGAAGATAAAATATTTTTAAAAACCCCTTATTTGGTCCAGGTAACAAAACCAAAATCCTAAACTAAGAGATGCTTTTACCAGAGCTTGTAGTCGAAGTTGTTTGGTGGAAGATAATCTTTCAGCAAAACTTCTTGAAGAGAAAAAGATAAATTCCCTCATGTTGTTACATGCTATTACAAACAGAACTCTGTCAGTCATGTGAACTCTCCCATTGCAAGCACTTGTCTTGTGCCAAAGAAATGTACTGTCTATTCTTCAGACAAATGCATTGCTTCCCAGGCAGTACAGGCCAACTTTTATCAGACACATCAGCCATGGAAAACAGATTGATGCTTGTTTGAATGCTCTCTACACAGGATATTTTCTAGGACTGCCAGTTCATTACATTATATAAGCACCAGATACAGAACTGAGATAAATAAAAATATTACTTGATATGAGTTCTCTTCTTCGCATCATATGACTTTCACATTAAGCTCAGATATTTCTGCCTCTGCATCTACCTGACTTTCTCCTTCTCTTCAGCCCAGCTGTTCAGTTTCTACCTCTGTCTCCATTCTTCAGCTTCTGCTAGTGCAGGTGAAACACAAAACGCCTGGGCAGTCTTCTCCCTCGCCGTATGAATTTTACAGGGATCCCTTTTCCAATTTGGCAGACTAAAGAAGTCACATCCTTTTTGTTTCCTTTGCAAGATAAAACACTCATTCCCATAGCATCTAAGCAGTTTGTCTCTGCATCTGTTCTAGATTGCTGGGGGTTTTTTCTTCTTTTTTTCCATTATGGTTTACCAGGCAGTGACAACAGCCCCATGCACTAATACAGCAGTCAGAAGACAGATGCCTTTTAGTGATCTGTGTAATCAATCAAGTCTGCCTTCACATGCCTGCATACTCTCCTTGTAGACTTACATATAAAAAATGTAATCCTTTTGCTTGTGCAAAGAGGCTAGACATTTTATTTTTCTGCCATTTGATCACCAGTGTGTCAGTGGCTAATGAAATACTAAAGGTTTGTTTTTACCTTAAAAGAAAAATGCCACAGCCTTTACCATGAATTTTCTTATTTTCAAACAGAAGCCACTGTTTCCTGAAGCCCTACTTCGTAGCCTCACCAGCTGCTATATTTCTTTTTAAGTAGCCTCTTGGGAAATAATACAATTTTTATTAATTGTATTATTTCACTGCTTAAGAAAGTGGTGAAATTTCATTCAGATATTTATTGTCAAATATTTAATGCTACAATGAATTGATCTAAATAGTGTTGTTTGGAGTTGTAGGTCACCAAAAAGTATCTAAATAGCTTTTACATCTCTGTAGAAAAAACAGAAAAGTCCTTCAGAAAATGTTGCCCTTGGTAAGTGACTTCGCAGTTTATATCATATTTCAAGACCATCCTTAGCCTTAACAGCCTGAAAAACGGTTTCAAGATGACATTTTAAAAGGAATTGAAGTGGCCAACTCCCACTACCTGCAAAAGCAGTTTATTATGTAAATAATGTAAAAGCCTGGCCCTTTGCCCCCTCTGAAAACTTCAGCTTAGTTCTTTTATTTCCATTACTATACATTGTCTCTATAAACAGATATATATTCCAAATTAGGATGTAAAAGCCTAAATAATTTTCAATAGCTAATTTGTATCTGATTTTTCAGAATGCCAATGTCATCAACTCTGAAAAATCTATGCAAGATGATCAGAAAGCATCAGTCAAAAATGTTAGCTGCATTTGCAAAAATCATTGCCATTTTGATAATTTGAATATTCCATAGCATACTCTTCAGGCAGGGCATTGAAAAATTTACTGGATAAGTATATAAATAACATCTTGAATGATGACCAGAGAATACATAGGACTTTTCTAAAAAGTGAACAATCTTTCAATGCATTAAGCCTTGCTAATGCACAAACATAAGTACCACAAAAGGGAATGTAATGAACATGTGGGAAAAAAGCCAATCCTCACTCTGCGTACACAAAAGAATGTGCTCTGAACAAGCTATTGCTATTTAGGGAAGAGTTTGCAAAGTTTTAATGAACAGGTCATGTTCAGCGGCAGTCAAGAAAGGCAAAACCAATATTAGAAGTGGCAAAGAATAAGACACTATGCCACCACTTAGGACCTTGTTGTGCCTCACAGAGGATACTGTGCGGTTTTGGTCCCCATGTTACAAAACGGACACAGAAAAACCGTATGAGATTCAAAGAGATGTGACAAGGAAGATTAAAGCTATGAAATAGCTTCTGTGTGAAGAATGACTAAATAAATATGACTTGCCATCCTCAAAGATGGACGACTGATGAGGGACAGGACAGAGGTCTATGAAATTGTGTGGCCATGACAAGCTGAATAAGGAACAACTGGTCTTTCCTAATAGGGGCATCAAATAAATTATGAAGTCACATATTCAAAATAAACGATAGTACATACTTCCTTATCACAAACCCAACTCAAGCGTGGAATTCCTTTCCATGGGATGCTCTCGATGCCAGAAGTTTATGCAGGTTGAGTGATAAAAAGGGTTCACAAAGTGGAAGAAAAATCCATCAGGGATTCTTATATTCAAAATCACAGCCTAAAGATCAGGAGCTCCATTAGCTGCAGGTTGTGGGAGACACACAAGAGTATATTTATGTGCTTGCCCTCATACACTCCTTCCTATACAACTGCTACTCTTGGAAACAGAATAACGAGCTAGACAGTTTTTTGGCCTGATCATACACAAGACATGTTACCAAATTACTTTCAGTTCAGGACAAGCCAAATATTTTTTTTACAAAAGAAAGTGCTATGTTGAAGCAGATTTATGCAACCCCTTTTATTATATTAATCTCTGTACGTATTGAACTGAAAGGGTCAAAACTTTCATGAAAGGTAAGTATAGAATCATAGAATCATAGAATATCTCAAGTTGGAATGAACCCATAAGGATCATTGAGTCCAACTCCCTGTTCCTCACAGGAGTAGCTAAAACTAAACCATATGACTAAGAGCATCATCCAGATGTTTCTTGAACTCTGACAGGCTTGGTGCCGTGACCACTTCCCTGGGGAGCCTGTTTCAGCAACCGACAACC